TGAGTGACCACTGAGTGACCTGAGTGACCAATGGGTGACCACTGACTCTGAGTGACCATTAGTGACCACTGAGTGACCACTGAGTGACCACAGTGACCACTGACCCTGAGTGACCATTAGTGACCACTGAGTGACCACTGAGTGACCAATGGGTGACCACTGACCTTGAGTGACCACTGAGTGACCACAGTGACCACTGAGTGACCGCTGAGCGCTGGGTGGCCGCTGCCCGTGGCCGGGGCTCTGGGGGTTTGTGGGGTTTGGGTTCCTGGGGGGCTTTTGGGGTCACTTTGGGGTTTTGGGGCTTTTTGGGGTGATTTTGGGGGTTTTTTGGGATGATTTTTGGCGTGATTTTTGGGGTGATTTTGGGGTTTTTGAGTGTTTTTTTTTGGGTTTTTTGGGGTTTTTAGGGAGGTTTTTGGGGTAATTTCAGGGGGTTTGGGTGTTTTTTGGGTTTTGGGGGGTTTTTGGGGTGGTTTTGGGGTTTTTTGGTGATTATAGGGAGGTTTCTGGGCCGATTTTTGGGGATTTTGGGATTTGGGGAGCTCAGCAGTTTTTGGGGTCATTGTGGGGTGATTTGGGGTATTTTTGGGTGTTTCTGGGGTGGTTTGGTGGTTTTGGGGTGGGTTTTGGGGTTTTTGTGGTGATTTTGGCGCTTTGGGTTGTTTTGGAGGTGATTTTGGGGTGATTTTGGGTTGCTTTTGGGTATTTTTAGGTCTTTTGGGTTATTTTGGGTGGTTTGGGTTATTTTTGGGTTATTTTGGGTGGGTTTGGGTTATTCTGTGTGGTTTTGGTTGTTTCTGCGTTATTTTTGGGTTATTTTGGGTAATTTTGGGTGTTTCTGGTTGTTTCTGGGTCACTTTTGGGTTCTTTTGGGCTGGTTTGTGTGGTTTTGTGTGTTTCTGGTTGTTCCTGGGTTATTTTGGGTCATTCGGGGTTATTTTGGGGAGTTTTAGGTTGGATCTGGGTTGTTTTGGGGGTATTTGGGTTATTTTGGGGTATTTGGGGTGTTTCTGGGTTATTTTGGGTGTTTCTGGTTATTTTGGGGTTATTTTGGGTGGTTTTGGGTTATTTTTGGAGTGTTTCTGGGTTATTTTGGTTGGTTTTGATTGTTCCTGGGTCATTCTGGGCTATTTTGGGTGGGTTTGGGTCATTTTGGGGTTATTTTGGGTTATTTTTGGGGTGTTTCTGGGTTATTTTGGGTGTTTCTGACTGTTTCTGGGTCATTCTGGGGTTATTTTGGGTTATTTTGGGTGTTTCTGTCTGTTTCTGGGTTATTTTGGGTTATTTTTGGGGTGTTTCTGGGTTATTTTGGGTGTCTCCGACTGTTTCTGGGTCATTCTGGGCTATTTTGTGTGGGTTTGGGTCATTTTGGGGTTATTTTGGGTTATTTTTGGGGTGTTTCTGGGTTATTTTGGGTGGTTTTGGGTTATTTTTGGAGTGTTTCTGGGTTATTTTGGTTGGTTTTGATTGTTCCTGGGTCATTCTGGGCTATTTTGGGTGGGTTTGGGTCATTTTGGGGTTATTTTGGGTTATTTTTGGGGTGTTTCTGGGTTATTTTGGGTGGTTTTGGTTGTTCCTGGGTTATTTTGGGTCATTCTGGGGTTATTTTGGGTTATTTTTGGGGTGTTTCTGGGTTATTTTGGGTTATTTTGGGTGGTTTTTGGGGTGTTTCTGGGTTATTTTGGGTGTTTCTGACTGTTCCTGGGTTATTTTGGGTGGTTTTTGGGGTGTTTCTGGGTTATTTTGGGTGTTTCTGACTGTTCCTGGGTTATTTTGGGTGGTTTTTGGGGTGTTTCTGGGTTATTTTGGGTGGTTTTTGGGGTGTTTCTGGGTTATTTTGGGTGGGTTTGGGTCACTTTGGGGTTATTTTGGGTGGTTTTGGGTCACTTTGGGGCTATTTTGGGTGGGTTTGGGTCACTTTGGGGTCATTCTGGGTGGGTTTGGGTCACTTTGGGGCTATTTTGGGTGGTTTTTGGGTGTTTCTGGGCTATTTTGGGTGGGTTTGGGTCACTTTGGGGTTATTTTGGGTGGTTTTGGGTCACTTTGGGGCTATTTTGGGTGGGTTTGGGTCACTTTGGGGTTATTTTGGGTGGGTTTGGGTCACTTTGGGGCTATTTTGGGTGGGTTTGGGTCACTTTGGGGTTATTTTGGGTGGGTTTGGGTCACTTTGGGGTCATTCTGGGTGGTTGTGGGTCACTTTGGCCGTTTTGGTGCCCCTTGCTGACCGCGTGTCTCCGCCCCAGGAGCGCGCCGTGCGCTGCCCGATGTCCGGCCGCCGCCTGCGCCTGGCCGAGCTGGTCAGTGTCCACTTCACGCCGGCCGAGCCCGGCCTGAGCCCGGGGCAGCTGCTGGCCCGAGAGCCGAGTGACCGCTACGTGTGCGCGCTGACCAGGGACCCGCTGGGCAACGCCACCCCCTGTGCTGTGCTCCGGCCATCGTGAGTGACCATTGACTGACCAGTGACCATTAACTAACCACTGACTGCCCCGTGAGTGACCGCTACGTGTGCGCGCTGACCAGGGACCCGCTGGGCAATGCAACCCCCTGTGCTGTGCTCCGGCCATCGTGAGTGACCATTGACTGACCAGTGACCATTAACTAACCACTGACTGCCCCGTTGTCCCTGAGAGTGACCGCTACGTGTGCGCGCTGACCAGGGACCCGCTGGGCAATGCAACCCCCTGTGCTGTCCTGAGACCCTCGTGAGTGACCCCTGAGTGACCCTGAGTGACCACTGAGTGACCCTGAGTGACCACTGACACCCCTGAGTGACCCCTGAGTGACCCCTGTCTCTGTGAGTGACCGCTACGTGTGCGCGCTGACCAGGGACCTGCTGGGCAATGCAACCCCCTGTGCTGTGCTCCGGCCATCGTGAGTGACCCTGAGTGACCCCTGAGTGACCCTGAGTGACCACTGACCAGTGACTGCCCTGTGTGACTGACCCTGAGTGACCCCTGTCCCTGTGAGTGACCGCTACGTGTGCGCGCTGACCAGGGACCCGCTGGGCAACGCCACCCCCTGTGCTGTGCTCCGGCCATCGTGAGTGACCCTGAGTGACCCCTGAGTGACCCTGAGTGACCACTGAGTGCTCTCTGTGTGACCACTGAATGACCATTGACCCTGAGTGACCCTGACTGACCACTGTCCCTGAGTGACCACTGAGTAACCACTGACCGTGAGCACTGAACCTGACTGACCACTGAGTGACCCTGAGTGACCATTGACCTATCTATGTGCCCAGGGGCGCAGTGGTCACTCAGGCTGACCCCTGACCCTCTCCCCAGGGGCGCAGTGGTCACTCTGGGGTCAGTGGTCACTCTCTGTGTCCAGGGGTGCAGTGGTCACTCTGGCCGCCGTGGTCACTCAGTCTCTCCCCCCAGGGGGTCAGTGGTCACTCTGGCCGCAGTGGTCACTCTGTCTGACCCCTGTGTCCATCCCCAGGGGTGCAGTGGTCACTCTGGGGTCAGTGGTCACTCTCTGTCCATCCCCAGGGGTGCAGTGGTCACTCTGGGGTCAGTGGTCACTCTCTGTCCATCCCCAGGGGTGCAGTGGCCACTCTGGGGTCAGTGGTCACTCTGAGGTCAGTGGTCACTCTCTGTCCATCCCCA